TATTCGACAACGAACAATAACTCACTCTGTATTTAGAAACTTGCAATTATTCTTCCTCAAAACATGCTAACAATGTTCTACTAAGTGATACGTTGTCAAGATGATCAAATCCACATTTCCATCTAACCAATGTACTCTGAAAAAGGAATTCTCATTGCTCGTATATGATAATAACCTGGTTAGTTCCTGTTTGCAGGTCGACTCATTGTAGGGAGCCCTGGATGTTGCCTTCAATTGAACTATATTGCTTGGTGTTCAGCGGGAGATTTGTGAGATCATTACATATTCAGTGATGAAATAACTTTTTTAAAAGTTTCACTAAAAGTATACTGCAGAACTCTTGTTAACAAATCAATTGACATAACTCACGCCGGTCCAGTGATATGTGCTGAACTATAAACCCCAGAAGGACAGTAACAAATTAGGACCTAGTATCACAGCGTAGTGGTCCATATTGCCACATCGCATATCAGTGCATCAAGTGAGAATGTACTAAGATGAAAGACAAAGAAATAGGGAAGAAAGCTGTAAGAGATGGCAGAAAGTCATCAAAAGAGGGCAGACGGGAATAATACAACACTGAGATTCGGTATTGAGACTAAGGTGAAGATGTGTGAATGCATCTGCGCTATGAAAAACGATTCTGAGCTGTCACCCAGAGTTTCCCACCACTGGTTTCTGTTGTCATGCGGACTCCAACCGGAAAGTTTACATTTCTATACCCAACTCAGACCAATAGTCAGAGACTTCACGCAGTGATGTCATGTTTTAGTATGGCAACCCCTAATTCTTATCCAACCTCACCCTACTTCAGCAAACTTGTGACAGGAAAGACGGTGTCTAAGCATGCGTAACACACGACGCAGACACCTGAGTCAATGAAGGTTCACAGCCTCATTCACTGAACTTCGTCATTTCCGTAGAACTACACCTTACTTCTACGTTACTGACGTGGTAACACCAGTACACATGACCTATTATAGGAATTCAACATCTGAAGGCTTCTCATCTCCACTAACTTCATTGCCCATGCTTCATAGACATAGTAGAACAGAGTGAACTGTAGTACAGTACACCCGACCTTTGATAGAAAATCGGGTATTATAGCGGCGCCACAGATGATGTAAGATGAAGAGAACTAAACCAAACTTTTGTATTCGTACAAGGACTTCCTCGATCACTGACAAGAAACGGTTGATCATACTTTCGAAATAAGTGATGCGGTCAACTGCTTCATTCCCTGTCGTTAAAAGAAGGTACCCACGAAAACCTGTGCTGAAGCCACAATTACCATTTGGATAGCGAAAAACGCATCCTAAAAGTTCTCAAATCGCCACTCAAGTTGTCCAAAAGACTCTGAAACTTGTCAGTGTCGTCATCTGGCATGAATATGTCGTCTGTGTATTCTAGATCTACTAAAGTTTCCGGTGATAAGGTCAATCCGTGTAAATTTAGATGAAGAGAGGGAGACCTTCATAAGTGTATCTACGGTAGAATTCAATAAGATTGAAGAGAGATGACATCCTGGAAGAATACTCGACAAACGCAAAATCCGAGGAATTATTGTAATCGAATAAATTGCTTTTCTGTCCCAATAAAACTCACCAATGCAATTTGTCTAATCATTCTGTGCACGGAAATCAAGATTGAGTGAAGTTTTTCTGTTGCTGTTTTCCGATTATTTTTATGAACAAACCTAATGAAGACCTATGCATATCACCATAGACCTAGGTGCTGAGGATTTTACTGCGGGTTATAAAATACATAACGTATCTTTTTGTAGCTATAAGGTTATACTTTCATGTGAAGTACTCGCTTAGAAACTGTCTTATTTTGTCCTGTACACTGAAATTTAGGAGGAGTATCATAATGTATTTTCATGATATCACAGCACTCTATCTAACAACCTTCGCTTTAACCTCAATTAACGATTGGTTATCTCATAAGCTATTCGTAGTTGTTACCAGAAGTTAGATCCTTTATGCACGAGTTTCGACTCATCAGTAATAAAAACCTAGTTAACCAATTTTCCTATCTTTTGATTGCCAGTTAGTTTGAATTTCAGGTGACGACAGAAATGGCAGATATCTCTAAAAGTTCATTTATATGATGACCGGGGAATATATGGAAACCAAGACTAAATGCAAAACTTGGATTTACTAGTCGATAAGTAGGAATGTTCTGCAACATACACCTGATAGTGAAATGCTGCATATGCAAACCTTAGTTGCAGATACTCCTACAAGTCTGCAAAAGCCAACCAAAAAAACTGAGGATTTCCGACTGTTGTGCTAATAAACTGCTATGCTCTCGACTGATAGCTCACGTAGGGACCAGGCTTGCATATCATGATCATCCAACTTGCGTCATTTGTGACGCCGGTGAGTTATCTGACTACATATCAAATGACGAGTATACTGCACTGCAGGATATTCTGCAAGGTCCTGCATCTTTACATCGTTTCACGTTAGATACAGCCTTCTCAACTTCAAGGAGACTTGAAGGACCTACGTCTATACCCAATTCAGGCTCAGGCTGGATGTTAGGCGACTGAAGCGTTGCCGAGGGTCAGTTGAAATGTGCTTAAAATGTTCTGCCCAAAGTTCCAACCATCTTTCTTAGGTTATTAGAGTCCCATCCTTTTTGGTGATGGTTTCACTAACCACCGTCTCACTCTTGCCGGTATCTTTAATCAGCCCAAACAATTGCCGAGCGTTACCCGATCCTGATCCCTTCTCCATCTCTCTCTCCCTCTTGCCACCCACCCCTGCTCGTGATCGACACGAAAACTCTTGATCAGTTTACGTTTAAGCTGCTTTCGCTTTTCTTCGCGGTCAGAATCAGCAAGTTGGAATCAGTCTTTTCGCGCCAATCAGTTCGGATGATGTCGTGGAAATTCAATGACGTTTGCTAACCTTCGGGTGTAGGTTACAAAATATGTTTGTCCCTGTTTCTACAACAGACTTAATATCACACCAGGTTTCCTCAGCATGAGCATTGCTGTCACATTCAGATAAACGCTTGGCTAGCTCCTCTCTAAATTCATACTTGGCGTTCTCATCAACCAATCGAGGATAGATGGGCCTCACTACTCCCTGTTTCCTGCGGCTAGTACAGTGCAGACATACACGAGCCCATACTAACGCATGATTAAAGTCTAAACGGGTACTGAAGAAACAGAGGAAATCCTCCACCAACCCTCTCCAAATGGCTTATGGTAATGTTGTATATGCGTATCCATCGTTTGTTTGAAGTCAGAGGACGCCATGTGAGACGATGTCTCTCCTCATGCCTAAACTTAGTCCTGAGCAGAAACAAGTGATTCTCGGAACAAAATTGCAACAGACGACTACCGTTGCTGGTTCTTTAGCATGAGATTCTATAAACACCCCAAAGATGCCTTTCCGATTAGCTTACCTTCCCTACTTGAGGGTTAAAGTCGCCTGCTATTGTGAGGATATCTAAACGATTTGCCTGCTGTAGCACAGTTGACGGCTTCACATAGAATGTATCCTTCGCATCATCCGAACTACAGTCCATGGGTGCATAGGCCGGAACTACGAATAGGCATGGTCTAGTCTCACGATCCTTCCTAGTTCTTACAGATCTATACAGTCAAGCAGCACATCGACGACTATTCACCGATATCCAGTTGAGAAGCCCACTTTTCGTTCTACAACTTAATGCTATGCCTACACCAGTGAGTCCACGAGAGCTAAACACTGGGTCTCAGGATACGCGTGGGGTGAATTTAAAAGATTCATTATTATGGCCAGGTGAGATCAATTTGATAACCACTGTGGAGTCCTGTATACATGTCTCAGAGACAACATATATCCATGGTTCGAGATTCCAGATCTTTTAGCGAGCGATGCTTGCTGTCCGATTTGGAATAGAGTCCGGAGGTTGGAAGCTACCACATGAAATAGATAGGGAGTTCTTAGGAGACGAGGAAGAAAGTTTCGATGTCCTGGATCGTTGACAATCATCTCAAGGTAAGAAGTTGGAGAAGGCCTAAGAGGCTTAACATTAGTATCACGAGGTGAAGGCAAAGGAAATGAAGAGTTGACGAGGATAGGTTATGTTTGGTTGTGTTTTGTATACTACTGGAAGCGTACGGGCGATCGACATTTCCCGGCTGCCCACAACGTGGAATGCTATTTCTTCTTAAGGTACCTGAAAGAGAAGGATTTGTGTGAACGCAGAGCCCATGAGACATCTGTTTGAGGCCTATCACACTCAACCTTTTGTGGGATATTGTTCTGAGGTTTGGTTGTTCTAACGCCAGAGAAGAGAAACCAATACCACCGGCTCTGAGAGAGCATGGGGCAGCAGGAGTGTTATTTTTAGGGTCTATCTTTCCCACCCCACCCCCTTCCCCTCGAGGTGGCATTAGGGCGTCACTGTTGTTCATCCAAGGGAAACACTTTACTGCTGTCACACCCCATCCAGCTAGCACCAGTACAACTTTGCCCTCGTAGCTCCATCTTATTATGGCAATTTACACTATAGTGGCAACTGTTTTTGTATTGCCACTATCCATCAGATCTTTCGGGTATTGTAGGACCTCGAGGGAAGAAGCTTTTCACCAGCATAGCTCGTTTGGTCATTGTGGTATGCAATTCCGACCACCACGCAAGGCAGCAGCTATCGGTTGAGAAGTACGAATGATACTACTTAGATGCCCAGACCGTAATAAGTGAAGGGGTTTCAAACCCTAGCTGGTTGGTCGAAAGTCACCGCCTAAACCAATGAGCTGCAGCTGCTTTATTACCTGATGTGCTACGAGGTTGTTGCTGCTAGCTTCAGTTTGCCTAATGCGAGTTATCAATTTTAGCTGAAAGTACAGAAAGCACTTGAAATCCATGCATACAATCACAGCTGTATGGAATTTTTAAATGTTAATTTATGAAGCGACGTACATGAATATAGAAATACACACTGAAAGCTACGAATAATAGTGTGCTTCAAAAAAGCAAAACAGAAAGCTATAGTATGAATCATTTATCTGCCAGATAATTAAGAGTAATCATGGAGTTATAAACCATATGGTACAAACCATCTTCGATCGAAAAAAACCTTCCCGTAGATGAGGTTAAGAGAGCTAAATTACGTAACTACCTGAAAGTCAAATACTGAACACAATAACTTTTAGACTTGGTGCGATGAGACGAATGACTCCATTCACTAAAAGTTTTCTGGTTTGTCCCAGTAGAACTTTTCTCCAGGATAACTCCAATTGACCTGGATGGGATATTTAGAGTTTCAGGCCTGAAAAATGAAATAAACAACAAATTTACCCCGGTGATGGAATGAGAATCTACTTTTCTCCTGCCTGTGAGTAGTTGACTATTGGTTATTAGTTCAACTAAGAGAAATCATGCAGCCAAGCTTCGTGATAACAGAAGTGGTATTCATATTTCTTAGTGGGCAAAAATAAGGTAATCCTCCATAGAGCCTATAGTTCTCTCGCGTGAGCAAGTGACATCAATTTTTACCATATATGTAGGAAGCGAAATCATCATCAGGGGGAAGTGGTAATGCCTGAGAAATCATAATAACAACTACATTACGTCAGAATGGATCATGAAATATGTTTATCTTGAACCACCTAGATAACTATTTTCTTTCATGACTTGGAGGGGGTACGAAAAGTCGCTGCTTTGAAAAACGATTATGTAAACACAATACATGTCCTTCGCTTGAGATAACGAACTAACAGCCGAATACATTAAGGTTTAAGAAACAGTCAGAAATCATGAGATACGTTTAGAACAAAGCTAATTAGAAAGATAAGGCAAATTTCATCTCAAAATATGCTCACAAACAACGTCAACAGAAAGGACTTAATTCAGCTGAAGTTATTTGTATTGATTATGTGTACACAACAGTTACTGCAGGTGCATAGACGCCATTATACTGCGTGCTCTAAAATATGCTGAAACATACAACTGGAGGTAAAAATCCTTTATATCAGAGAAGATAACAGCCTCTGTTTAGAGTCTGAAAAGCAATGTTCATCATCATCATCAACATAGGACCAGGCATTACTGCGTAACAGTCCGAGTTGCCACAGCTCAGTACAGCACATCAAGTAGAAAGGTAGTGAGGTGAAAGATGAAGATAAAAAAGTTCAGTCAAAGAAATATTAAGTATGAGAAGAGAGAAAGGAAAAATGACAAAATGGTGAGAATCGGTATAGTGTTAAGATGATGATAATGTGTGTACACATCTGAGACACTGACATCAGTTCTGAGCCATATCACCTAGAGTCAGTCTCCAACCACTGGTTCCTCTTGTCCCGCCGACCCAAACTACCTAGTCTGCATCGCCCCACATGGCTCAAACCAACAGTAAGAGGCTTCATACATTGGTGCCATGTTTTAGTCTGGCCACCTCGGGCCTTTTTCCAGCCTGGACCTACCTCAGCCAACATTGTGTGACGAGGCAATCGGTGACTAGGCATACGTAGTACGCGTCCCAACCATCTCAGTCGATGAAGGTTCACAACCTCGTCAACTGATTACCTCTACTCCCCAAAACTCTATACCTGACATCGGCGTTACTCACGTGGTGACACCGATGAATACGTCCTATACTACGAAGACAACGGTGGTCAAACACCTGAAGCGAGCCTTCTCATGTCTTCCACCTTCAATGGCCATGCTTCACAGTCATACAGTTGAACAGACCGGACTGCTGTGCAGTACACGCCACCCTTAATAGACCATCGAATATCACGGCGGCGCCATAGGTGGCGCGAATTGGCAAAAGCCAATCGAGCCTTTTGTATCCGTGCAGAATCTCATCGGCCACTGACCCACCAGGGCTGATTCTACTTCCCAGGTAAGTGAAGTGGTCGACACACTCAACCACTTCACTCTCCACTGTTAACCGCGGTACCGCTGAAGACCAGTCCTGGAGCAACAATTTGCATTTGGGTGGTGAAAATCGCATCCCAAACATTCTCAAATTGACACTCAAAGTGTTCAGAAGACTCTGCATCTTGTCAGCGTCTTCACCTAACAGGACTATGTCATCTGCATATTCTAGATCTAAAGAAAATTCACCTGTGATCGGGTCAACGTCTGTGTAATAAGGTGAGGAGAGGGAAACCTCCATAAGAATATCTATGATAAAATTAAATAAGAATGGGGATAGTGGGCATCCTTGACGGACACCACTTGATGAGTATAGCTCCCTGGACAACTCGCCATAGGCTCTACCATGCCCACAAGTGTTCGAGTAGAGAGCTTTCATAAGGTGATGTACTTACTAGGCACGCCTTTCAGTGACAGACGTTGCCATAAGACTTCTCGATCAACGGAGTCAATGCCACCTTCAGGTCGAGAAATACAGCTATTGTCGGGCGTCTGTAAGCATGCCTATGTTCCAGGACCTTGCACAGTGTGAATATTTGGTCGATACATCCACGGCCAGGTCTAAAGCCTGCCTGGTTTTCTCGGGCTTGGTGTTCCCGAGCTCCACTCAGGAGTCGGAGAATTATAGAACTTAGGATCTTAGACACTATATTCGTCAGGCTGATTCCTCTGTGTTATCACAAGAGGACTTCTCGCCTTTCTTGAAGACTGGGATGATGAGCGACTTAGACCAGTCGGAGGGATCGTATTTGATTCCCATATACTGGCTAACACTTCCGTTAACCTGACTAAGAGCACTCTATCACCATCGTTGTATACCTCAGCAGGTAGTCCATCTGGTCCTGCCGCCCTTCCTCGTCTCACGTTACCTACAGCTTTCTCGACTTCTCCTAGTGTTGGGGGGCGGTTTATCTCAATGTTCCATTCAGGATCTGACTGGATAGTGGGCAACGCAATGGTGGTTGGAGGCCAGTTAAACAGCTTCTCAAATTGTGCACATCGTTCCACTGTGAGTGAATCGCGGATCCATTCTTCTCCGCTATAGCCTCACCAACCGCAGTTGACCTTTTTTCCCCCACTCTCCTTAATAAGTCCAAATAACCGTCTACTGTTACCAATTACCGCTGCCTCTTCTATCTCTTTTGCCTTCGCTGCCCACCACTGTATAAAAAACTTAAAGACCAATGCATTAATTAAAAATCAAAGATGGCCAGTATTACACGTGCACATACTAATATATCGGATGTTCATGGATTTTCAGCGTAATCAACGGAACTTACACAGCACATGCGAAACGGTTTGCGGTAGCGTTAATCGTTAGTCACAGCAGCTAATCATCACATAAAACTCTGTATTTTCCATAGTGCATCCCAGAATCTTCCAATGCTTCCTTAGGAGCTTGAAACTAACAATTTCCAAGGACCGGATAATAAATACGTGCATTAATAAGTTGCCGTTAACCAGTCAGCAAACAAACCAAGAATGATGAGAATCGTAGATGTGATTTGCTTTCAAAAAGCACTGTTCTATCCCACTTTTAAGTACACTGCTGAACTATAAAAGGGATCAGATTAGAAGTGAAACTGCGATCAGAGATTGTGTGCACTTTTGTGCAGTAGGTGAGGAACTATATCTGTTGAGAAGACTGGTGATATTAGCTGGCTGTTTAGACTTCGAGGGTGGATTCGAGCTCCGAACGCGTACGATGGATAACATCTGATTGATGTTTGCTCCAAAGGTCATGTAAAGTTGCTTCACATTGACCGATATATTAGACTATAAACTGATGCATCCAAAACGCACGCTGAAACAGCGACTGCCACATTCGTATGACGAATTCCAATGTGCCATGGGTTTAGAACCCACAAATGAAGTCTCTAATGTAACTAGTCCCGACCGATAGCTGCTACCTTGACGTGGTGGTCGGGCTTGCATATCACAATGACCCAACGAGCTATGCTGGTGGAACGCTTGTTCCCTCGAGGTCCTACCATACCAGAAAGGTCTGTTGGGTAGTGGTTAGACGAAAAGCAGTTACCGTTATAGTGTAAATTGCTACACTATGATGGGGGTCTGAGGGCGAAGTCGTACTGCTGCTAGCTGGATGGGGTGTGACAGCAGTAAGGTGTTTCCCTTGGATGACCAGCAGTGCCAAGCTGATGCTGCCTTCTCAGTGGAAGGGGGGGTTAGAAAAGGTCGGCCCCAAAAATAACACACTCCACCACGCCCCACGGTCTGCCGGGCCGGCGGTGTTGGTTCACTTGTCGTTTCCTTTCGACCATCCGGCCCCAAAAATACAAAAATTCAAAATAATCATACTCAAAAGGCTGGGTGTGACAGGCCTCAAGCAGATGTCCGATGGGCTCTGCGGTCACACAAATCTCTTTCAGGTACCTTAAGAAGAAATAGCCTTCCACGGTGTGGGCAGCCGGGAAGTGTCAACCGCCCTCACAACTCTGTCAGCACCCAAGTTTCTTCTGACTGCTATCCTCCTCCTCCATCATTACCTTCTAATCTTCCTTCACGTCTCTTAATTAATGATGCTGCATCATCTTCAATTTCTCCTACCTCTGCAGCCTTCGACAACGATCTGAGTCCACAGAACAGCATCCCTGGTCTCCTTAAACCACGCTCCAAATTACATATTGGAGCCTTCAATGTCCGCACCCTCCGTCAAATTGGCCAACAGGCTTCGTTGGCAAAGACTCTAGCAACTCGGGCATGGATGTGTGCTGTGTTTGTGAGACACGCATACAGGACCCAAGTGTGGTTATTCACCTGACCTCTCCTGACCAATCTGGTGAATCTGCAAAATTCACCCTTCGAGTTTCTGGAGATTCGATAGCTAGCTCTCGTGGTCTTGCAGGTGTAGGTATAGCATTAAGCACCAGGGCAGAAAACTCACTACTAGACTGGATCCCAGTTGATAGTCGCCTCTGCGCTATGAGGCTGAACGGCACAGTGAGAACTAAAAGGAATAGTGAGACTCGCCGTTGTCTCTTTGTAATCTCTGCTTACGCACCCACTGACTGTAGTTCGGATGAAGTGAAGGACGAGTTCTACCATAAACTGTCTAACCTCCTCTCGAAAGCCAAACGTTCGGACGTAGTGGTTGTTGCAGGTGACCTCAACGCACAGGTGGGTAGACTGAGTGAGGCAGAAAGGCACTTAGGTGGCACTTTCGGAATCCCAGCTGAACGTACAGATAACGGTGATCGCCTATTACAACTATGCTCAGATAACCGCCTATTTTTAGCCAGCACAAATTTCAGACATAAAGAAAGGCACTGTCTGACCTGGCGTCCACCGAGCTCGACTCAGCGATGGACACAGATAGACCACATTGCTATTAGTCATCGCTGGAGAGGATCGGTGGAAGACTGCCGCTCCTTCTGGAGTACGTGTTTGGACAGCGATCATGCGTTGGTCCGAGCACGTATATGCCTGCGTCTCAATGGACGTAGAAAAAATTTGGCAACAAAACCACTACGAGTTCTGCTGGACAACGAAAACACCAAAGCCGTGTTCAGTGAGAAGTTGGCTAGGCAGTTATCGGAACAAAAGACTGTCACTCATCCAGAAGAAGCTTGGTGCCATCTTCAGTCTACTGTAAAAGCAGCACTGGAGACTGTAGCCGACTCCAAGATAATGGCTAAAAAGAGCCAGTGGATATCAGCAGCTTCTTCCAAACTAATGGATGCACGTGAATGCATCCCTGCAGGCTCTGAGTACAATGAAGAGCGAGCGCAACTTAAAAATAAACTGACGAAAAGTCTGCGCAACGATCGTGAACAGTGGTGGGCAGCAAAGGCTAAAGAGATGGAAAAGGCAGCGGCGATCGGTAACAGTAGACAGTTATTTAGACTTATTAAGGAGACTGGGGGGAAATGGTCAACAACAGTTAGTGAGGTTATAGCGGAGAAGGACGGATCGGCGATTCACTCGCAGGGAAGGCGACTGGGACGATGGGCAGAACACTTTGAGGAACAGTTTAACTGGCCTCCAGCCACCATTGCGCTGCCCGCTATCCAGTCGGACCCTGAATGGGACATAGAGACAGGTCCCCCAACACTAGAAGAAGTGAGAAAGCGGTAGGTAGCCTGAAACGGGAAGGGCAGCAGGACCAGACGGACTACCTGCTGAGGTATACAAGAATGGTGGTAGAGTTCTCTTAGTCAGGCTAACGGAAGTGTTAGCCAGTATATGGGAATCAAATACGATCCCCTCCGACTGGTCTAAGTCACTCATCATCCCAGTCTTCAAGAAAGGCGAGAAGTCCTCTTGTGATAACCACAGAGGAATCAGCCTGACAAACATAGTGTCTAAGATCCTAAGTTCTATAATTCTCCGACGCCTGAGTGGAGCTCGGGAACAGCAAGCCCGAGAAAACCAGGCAGGCTTTAGACCTGGCCGTGGATGTATCGACCAAATATTCACACTGCGCCAGGTCCTGGAACATAGGCATGCTTACAGACGCCCGACAATAGCTGTATTTCTCGACCTGAAGGCGGCATTTGACTCCGTTGATCGAGAAGTCTTATGGCAGTGTCTGTCACTGAAAGGCGTGCCTAGTAAGTACATCACCTTATTGAAAGCTCTCTACTCGAACACTTGTGGGCATGTTAGAGCCTATGGTGAGTTGTCCAGGGAGCTATACTCATCAAGTGGTGTCCGTCAAGGATGCCCACTATCCCCATTCTTATTTAATTTTATCATAGATATTCTTATGGAGGTTTCCCTCTCGTCACCTAATTACAAAGACGTTGACCGATCACAGGTGAATTTTCCTTAGATCTAGAATATGCAGATGACATAGTCCTGTTAGGTGAAGACGCTGACAAGATGCAGAGTCTTCTGAACACTTTGAGTGGGAATTTGAGAATGTTTGGGATGCGATTTTCACCACCCAAATGCAAATTTTTGCTCCAGGACTGGTCTTCAGCGGTACCGCGGTTAACAATAGAGAGTGAAGTGGTTGAGTGTGTTGACCACTTCACTTACCTGGGAAGTAGGATCAACCCGGTGGGTTAGTTGCCGATGAGATTTCTGCACGGATACAAAAGGCTCGATTGGCTTTTGCCAATTTGCGCCACCTATGGCGCCGCCGTGATATTCGTTTGTCTATTAAGGGTCGCGTGTACTGCACAGCAGTCCGCTCTGTTCTACTGTATGGCTGTGAAACATGGCCATTGAAAGTGGAAGATACAAAAAGGTTCAGGTGTTTGACCACCGTTGCCTTCGTAGTATAGGACGTATTCCGTGGTGTCACCATGTGAGTAATGCAGAAGTTAGGTGTAGAGTTTTGGGGAGAAGAGGTAAGTCAGTCGACGAGGTTGTGAACCTTCATCGACTGAGATGGTTGGGACACGTACTACGTATGCCTAGTCACCGATTGCCTCGTCACACAATGTTGGCTGAGGTGGGTTCAGGCTGGAAAAAGGCCCGAGGTGGCCAGACTAAAACATGGCACCAATGTATGAAGTCTCTGACTGTTGGTTTAAGCCATGTAGGACGATGCAGACTAGGTGGTTGGGGTCCACGGGACAAGAGGAACCAGTGGTTGGAGACTCTAGGTGATATGGCTCAGAACCGAAGTCAGTGGCGCAGATGTATACACACATTATCCTCATCTTAACAACGCTATACCGAATCTCACTATTTTGTCACTCCTCCTTTCTTTCTTCTCATACTTTATATTTCTTTTGACTGCACTTTTTTATCTTCATCCTTCACCTCACTACCTTTTTACTTGATGTGCTGATATGAGGTGTGGCAACTCGGACCGTTACGCAGTAATGCCTGGTCCTATGTTGATAATGATGATGATGATGATGACTAATGTAACTAGTGGCTTTTGAGAGCCAGTTTGTTCTGTAAATCGCCACGTGCACTTCAGTGAGATTCGGAATTGTCGCGAAACGTAGCGTTCGAGATTAGCCTAACAGATAAAACCTATTTGCTATTAATAGTGATTAACTGGCTTTCGTATGAAAACCACAAGTAACACTGTCAACTGAATTGTAACAGTCGACTCTAATTGAGTGTAATCACCCATATGATAAACAGATTAGAACTGCTAGACTGAGCACAAACTGTTTAGAGACAACACTGCCACAGAGAACTGTTTGAAAATATTTCTGCATGTTAACCGTAAGTCAGGAGGATTCCGACACAACTACACTTAACGAGTGCGGGCAACCAAGTACAATTATAGCTTCCATACAATAAGCCTGACTATTACGTGCACGTTTCTGGACACAAGATTAGATAACATAACAAACAGAAGCTGAAGGAGTACAGTATAAAATCTTTGACTAGAAGCATTTGATTATCTTCCAATAAGGCAAATTTATCTGCAAAAAAACATTGCCTGAACTCACGAAGAATGGAGTACGCACACTGAGGTAAGAGTTAATGCAGATCACAAATATCTCTTGAAATGAAGTATGCCCTCAAGAAAGGCTACATAAAAAGGGTTTACCACGCCTTAAAACAAAGTAACGTGATTCTAGATGATGGCAGTCTCATATGAGACAAAGTCTTTAAGCATTTTGGGAGAATTCCTCAAATTAAATTATCATAAGCATAAACACATGAAGTAACAGAGCAGTGTTGAAGAAAGCCAACTTGAAAATCACCGATTACATTACTCAGATGAGTTTCAGAAAGTAACTAGCAGAATCAGGTTTTCATGCAATGCCCATTCCCTTCTAGTTAACAACTAGTGACTCTACAATTCTTAAGAACCACAGGTGGCCCACTGATAAACTACTGTCACTCTTGAAACTTGACAATAAACATGCATATAATACTGCCAGAATATTTCACTGCATTAAGGCAACCATATGTGAGAGTTGGAAGCCCATTTTGGTTAAAATAGTAGTTTTAAGAGTTAATGTATAAGGTCGATGAAGATATTAAAGGTCAAATACAAGAACTTCTGCTCTACTGATGCTGCCGATACCTTTTAGTTTTCCCCATTAAAAATCTACGTCTGTACTACATTAGATTACGTAAGTGCCATAAAGTCAAAATACAGTACACAAAGCATACTTTTAAAATCACACATGATTACACATCTGCACGCGCCTATTCGGAATAAATAGAGCCAAAATACAATTCTATCAAGTTCAATGACATCTAGTTATCTTTAGAGCTCATCTGTAAGGCCTGAAAAATACCTAACTAATAGATATACAGTTTATAACGGAAAAGAGCCACAATACACAGTTTGTGAGTTTCCAAACAGCCGGTAGCAAGTTCAGCCTCGAACCATGTCTAGCTTCTTAATTCAGTGGTTAGTGAAGCAGACTGCTGACACTATTTTAGTGCACCTACTAAAGTATATCTACTTTATACTTAAGAAAATAATGCATACGAATATGAAAGTGTACGAAGTCCCACTACATGTACAAACTAACAAATTAAACATCTCACTTGCTGCCGCTAGTCAATCTTTTTGTGCCAGAAACGTAAACATCAACGGTCTACGAGCTTCACGTCTGGTGTCCCTTAAGTAATAATCATTTGCTGATATTTTTGAGTTTGCACCGTTAGGTAGGAAGGCAAGAGGTTGTGTTCGTCTTGACATTTCTTCAGCATATCTAAGAGAATTGTTGTATTTTCTCCGCAGGAGAAAATCCCGAATATGAGCCATGAAAGGTGTCAAACGGTCCCACCCCTTACTGACATCGCTTTGTACCGCAATATCCTAAGAATGCGCCACTAGATATCCCTCAAATGGTTCAAATAGTTGATGGCAGAATAAACTGCAAAATAAACTTATGTCTTCGTGATTCAGCAGTAGGGAATTATGTATCCCATTATTTTGTGGTTGTCTCAGTGGACAATGCTGTTTAGTTGTAATGGTCTCATTTGGTTTCCCGTTTGCAGTAAACCTGATACTTTGCCAGCATTTACTTTAGGAGTACTTTGAACTTTCGGGTTTTCGCCCGAAGCTACTTCGGATGCCCTCACCAAAATCTGGGAATTCCCCTCAAATTTCGCAAACATTTCACTTGGCCGTTAGCATTTAATTTATTTCCATAACACAAACATAAACGTCAAATATTCATATAACAGTATTACAGAATACACCTCATAACTTGGGATATGGGTTATTCCAAATCTTCGGGCTTGCCGCTGACGCTTTGAGGACTCTGGGCGCATTGCATACACCTTGAATGCTTGGGCGCATTCAGCAGACATCCAAAATTTCGGGTTAACTGCAGACACTTTGGGTAGGGCCCGAAATTTTTTGGTGACTTTGAATCCGCTGGACGGCTGTTTAGGTACACCGAAACTGGTGATTGCCAGCGCAAGTCCCGTTCACAATATTATGCCCCGTGGTGGTGAGTGGTGGTCGTTTTTTTCAATGAGTAATTGCGTTTCCCACACCTTTGCAATGTTGCTATTTGACTTCCTTAATTCATTTAATGCATTATCGGTGCTCCAAAATAATGAGTGCATGAAATCTTTGTGCAAGATGATATGTAAGCAGGTGCCTGTGGAATGCAATGAAGCATCTTGCGAAATTCTATAGTTCCTCCACCACCCCTTATTTTCAGTTACTGCAGCACCTGTCACGATGGGGTTTGGCGAACGTAACCCACTGGAGGCGTGCTACCGAAGCCCTATGTTCCACTAGGAACCCAAGGGACATATAATAATAACAACCCTCGTGAGCATCGAGACCTAAAGTCACAGAAAAGGAGACGGAGCTCGAGTTTGCGTAAGGTTTCTTTTAGTTCACCAACTGTATTGATAAGCTCGACTCAGATTTAAACTGCATCAGAGTATAGCCACACTATACCTAGGAGTGAAGAAATATAAGTACTGGCCTAGCATGCAATCAACAGGTAATCGTGTTGAATTATTTACCGCATAACCAAAAAGTAGCACAATCTCCAGGTTTACGCTGTTGGCCGAGAGATATTCCTTCCAGTAGTGACGGTAAGTTAAGTTTTAAATTTACCTTTAGGAGCTATTCAGCCCATTTCATTACTTAATGATGAAGACATGGATGATTGTCCACAGAACAAAATGCAGCGATGTTTGGTCGTTTGGGCCATGCCAGCTTGTAAAGACGTTGGGACAGTTGTTACACAGGAGTCCATCACGACCACAATGCAGCATTCCAGTTTGCGTGCGATACGAAACATCGTCGATCAAACAAAGACAAATCAAGCTGATACACGCATTGTACTGGGAAAGCCTAGTCATTTTTGCCCAGAACTTTCAGTAGATCCACGAACAGTGATGAGAATACCAAGACACTCTTCGGAGAAAACAATAGGATCCGTTACGTTAGTCATCGTCATCAGCTTTAAAATCAGTAAGGTTGGAGCAAGTACCTTTGGCCAGAAAACATCTCGTATTGCAGTTGAACGTAGACGGCGCACAACCGTTCACGAACTTCTGCCTGCAAATATGGCCAATACTGGGAAGACTAAGCTACCAGAAGGTTAGTGAGGTCTATTCAGTAGGTATCTATTCAGGTCCATGTAAACCAGTATATGGTCATGGCTCCATGGGAGATACGGCGACCGCAAGCCTACGCTGTGAACGTGAGTGGGGACCAAGTTTTTGATGGTGTGAGGAGGTCATTCCATGCCCTTACAAATGATAAGCGTGCTAGTTACTCCTGATATCCGTCTCATGTCGTTTGAGTCCCTACCTCTGGGTGTTCCTCCTGAGATTCGTATCAGACCTGGCCCGGGCAAAATGACTGGGGGGTAATGTATTTTTGAGATGAATGGGGATTTTTAATTTAGAAGTAATATTCATCATGGACTGACATCAGTTGGGGAACCATTGAGAATCCGGGAGCACTGGACAGCCGTTTCGTCCTAGTATGGGACTCCTCAGCAGTAGGCACCCATGACCTGGCTAGGGGTCGAACTCAGGACCTTTAGGTTTCACGGCGAACGCGTTAACCATTCAGCCACCGGGTCGGTTTCCAGTGGTTCACAAGCTCCAATTTTGGTTTTGAGGTCATTGTATACAATAGCGTGTAGTATCACTTCAAGTCCTATGCTGATTACAAACGTTGGTATCTGGGCTGTAGTCTGTTCGCTTTGACAAGTTGCAAATCTATCATCATTGTGTGGGGTTCCCACTTTCTAGGTACGAGAAAAAATGATGTATTACAGTTGAAAAAATCTTAGCATGAATTCGAAGATATGTGTACAGGTAAACTCAATTACCACTATATATTCTTAACTGTTTTTTGCCATACGCTTGTCTTTTCCATCTGTGAAGAAAAAAAGTAAGACTAGTATGTCCAAAAGTTGTAAATAATCATACAGAGAAAGCAATAAGAAATAGGGGGAATAAACATGTGTTATTACCTTTCGGTTGAAGATAGAGGATCAATGCGTCACTACCACTACAATCGATCGTCAGCCATATTACATACAGTTTCCACATATCTACTCTGGTTTTCTCGTAGGTCTCAGCTTGGTTTTCTGCTTTGTTTACAGATGGCTCAGATTATCAGTCAGACTTTGGGAATTGATGCCACAGTCTAATCTGGCTACTGTTAGATTTCAACCCGAGCCCCGCTCCAGCATGGTATACTGCCACATCATATTAAAATAGAAGTTTAAATTCTCATTGACTGACTTATCTGTTTCACTTATGACCCAACGTTAGTCGCTTGGCGACCTGAATATAAACTGGGGATGCCACATCAGTAGTTGAACACTTGAAGTATTCTCAAACCCTCAACCTTTGGTATCTGTGCTTCAAACATGATAGGGCGAATTACCAAGTAGTGCACTCGACCTTGATTTGTAGTCGGATATCTCATCGAAACATCTATATTCAAAACAAAAAAAATTGTGGTAATCTAATTATTGTTCTAAGAATGATCCTTTTGGTTCGTTTTGGGTTCAATAATGTGGCCCTGCGTATTCGATATCTTTTCACTTTCCAAGTAAGTACTTCTCTCCTTGTCCACTCTTATCTGTACTGTTGAACTCTTAATCATATCTTAGGGATACGAATTTACGATTGTTTCTTGCTGAGTTAATTGATGCTTTCAATCATCTAAAATCCAACTGGTAGACTTCTGTGCTGGCATCTGCATTAGTTTGTATCTCTGGTAGTGGCAATAACCTTTCAACTAATGATTCACTAAGGAGTGGTGTTCATCATGGTCTGACATCGGTTGGGGAACCATTGGAAGTCTGGTAGCACTGGAAAATTGGAACTTGTGAACCACTGGAAACCGACCCGGTGGCTGAATGGTTAACGCGTTCGCCGTGAAACCTAAAGGTCCTGAGTTCGACCCCTAGCCAGGCCATGGGTGCCTACTGCTGAGGAGTCCCATACGAGGACGAAACGGCTGTCCAGTGCTCCCGGATTCTCAATGGTTCCCCAACTGATGTCAGTCCATGATGAACACCGCTTCTGGATTAGGGGGTAACCCGAAATGTTTGGAGCGCTACTGGTCATCATTAAGTGACACCGTAGCTGTCCAAGAGACGTAGATCCAGTGCTGCCATGAGCTTCTTGAATGGCTTGAACCGTAGCGCCCTGTATTCACTGTAAATGGTTCCTTTTTTAGAAGTGAAGAAGGAAAGATTGTAGTGCCATATCTCACGTAAGACCGCAAGAAAGTGCTACAAATTTGATGGAAACGCTTGTGATCAAGCTGTCCGCGGACTCCTCGCAGGGTCGCAGTAGCCAAATTTGCGGGGTAATGTGGTTTTGCACAATTTGCCTAAGATTTAGTGTCATCAAGGACTAGGACCTCAAGATCCTTGTCTTGCCTCGCAGAAATAGTCGAATAATTGTTGCATATACTCCATAGCTGCGGTGCTGTGAACCATTCTTCATGTGATTCCTTTCCAAATCCACGAGAAGTCGAAAGAAGGCACTGCTGTTCATTACCTGCCACTTTTGCACCTTACTCATAGAGGACTGTCCGCGGATAGGCTCTGTGGTTGCAGTATTCGCTGTGAGTTTCCTAGAAACATAGATTTGACCGCTGCAGTTATAAAGGAATTCGTAGCACGCCTACATTCGTCAAGTGGGCCGTGGACTGTTACGTTGATGCACTCGCTACGTGACTGATTTGAACACACTGCAGTCTAGAGACCTGAACACTACAGCCCATCGGTCTTCATTGACGAATGCGTTCCACCAGAGATAGCTCTTGAGGAATGTCAGAAAATTGCTTACAAATCTAGGCTATCTGGAAGCAGTGAACCCTTGATAACATTGGGATCCCAATGGGAGGATCCAAGAGATACTGGAACCTAAAGGATATCCAGTTTGTTGAATTCAACTCTGACTAAACTACCAGAAAGTTTCTTTGGACAATACTAAGTAGCTTTGGAACGGAAAGTCCCATCACCTTTTTTGCTGCGTGGCAGTACGTTCCTCATTTGACCTCATAAGCTACCAGAGACGAAAACTATGTGAGCAGAAACAACACCGGCTTCTGATAAATCTGAAGTGCCTCTACAAATCAAATGGGAATTAAGGTGATTCTCGTCACCATCCACATCTGTCAGCCACGTTTCATGCGTGGCCACCACCGAGGTGTAAACCGAGCATTCTGCTAAAAAATACAGCAAACCGGGGTGGAGTAAATCACGATCACATCAGTTTCGGTTCCAACGAATGAAATTTAGCCCATATTCCTAGTAGGCCTGAGAATGCATGGTATATGATGGCAGGAGACCCAACTTACTCACACTGACTGCTTGAAAACTAGCCTTGAGGCTCTATTTGTGGAGAAGATAGCGTAATTTCCCCCCTCCGCCTAATCAATCACTGTATGCGCCCTAGCCAAAAGAGTTAGCATGAATTTTGGGCCTACCCTAGCCCCATTAGTCGGTATTCAGCGTTGTGTATGACATCAGGTTACCTACTGTTATCCATTGCAAGCACTATCATTAACGTACGTTGAAAGTTGAAGGTAACTCAAAGCAAAAAAATGGACACATAATTTCAGCCCATTTGGGACTGATTTGTGGTTTAACGGTAGAGCATTCTTATTGGCTGAATCCATGGGTAAATTTAGAGGCAGCAGTACGATCCACCATTTTGGGAAGCTTACAGGTGATGACTGGTGGGCATAAGTGGACTGGGTGGATTTACACACAATATAGATGTCAGAAAGCCCAGGCCTATTTGCAGAAAGTGTGCTACGTGGAAATACATAAATAGATAAATGTTTTATTCTTGTGTTAAAAAAAGGATTTTAACGTGAGAGAAGCCAGTTTACAGGCTTCATCACGTTGATACATTTCAAAATGTTTACAAGACTTGAGCCCTGAGTGGTACTGATGGAATGTCATTAAACTCAATTTTTAAAAAACTGCCGAAGGTCCTGCTAGTTATGAAATGAGCGAGGAAATATTACTTTACAGCGTACATAGGGCATTAAAGTTTAGATGATAGTAAATGTCACCTTCATTTAACAGGCTTAACATGAGGGATACCAGTTTACAAGCACCGTCAAATTCATAACTTTTGAAAGTATCTAGTATTAAATAATTTACATATCAAGTCATTAGTGTGCATAATCTTATTGAAATTTGCTGAAATTCATGAGACGGATGTGGATTGCCATCTCCCACCACATAGATAAGTTCCATTATCAATATCAAAAGCGCGCAGTGTTCAAAGTTTGCGTTGCAACCAACCGACGTTGTTAGTCCATTCGTATAGTTTGCTGATTAGTAATATAATAGTTTGTTACTTAGAATGATCTTCAGTTTTTAGTTTGCTAACCACGAAGGACCCGTTTATACAATCTGGAGTATCAGTAAAGTATCCACAGTTATATAACCAACGTGTATGGCTATATCAATACATATCCAGGTCACCATGTTACTTTTAAAGGTGATATACATTAATTCTGCTGGGAATACTTGCTGTATTGGGTGAAAATAGGTGCTGAAACAGTCAATAGTCTATAGACTTCGAGCATCTTTTGTAGTAGCGTGGGCGGCATCATTCGAGAAGTGTATTTGATGCGTAGTAAGTTCCATATGAAAAGGTCTCTTGGTACAGAGTACTAGAAAATGTCTAGTGTGGAACCATTGCAGGTGAATGACGTCCTGAGCCAATATTTTAATTGGTCTCTGGTTTAATCATCTGTTCAGAATGCCTCTGCTACTAATGCTGTTGGGAATGGTCGAACGGTTCGTCGCAAGAAAAATCATGACGAGTAAGTGAGTTAATCTTGAAGATGGTCCAGAATTTGAGAAAGAGTGGGAGCAGTCCAATAATTATTGGCGTCAATGAGCAGGTGTTATTCCCATAAAGTAATCACGTTCAGACTGAATTTGAACATCAAATGTCGACTTGCAGCTGTTTCTGCAAATGGGGAAAGAAAGGAGAGGCGCGAGCAGATTTGGAAATACAGATTACTACGCTATCAAATTTGGAGAAGAGAAAGGTCCCTATCCTTTTTTTATTTATTCGGACTTGATGTACATTTTCATGTATATATGATAAGTCAACTACATAGTCCTTTTGTTATAGGGTTATCAAGTCGTTTTTTGGGAGGGGGGTGGCAGGGGAGGTTTCAGTAAATGACATGCAGATTCATAAGGATTTTTCGAGGCAATCCCACATGTCCGAGATAACACTAAGAGGAGTATCCATGTGGTACTGGATACCTTACTACCGAAAAATCTGATAAGATCACCATAAGACTACCCAATGCTCTCCATTACTCAAAAAATTGCTGCTCCAAATCTCCGGTCGGTGGGTAATCCTCACCCTACGACCTTGTTGACTTGCCCACCAATGCCAAGGTAAGTTGGAAAACAATACAAATAACTCGGCCTCGGAAGAATTGTTCCAGCTCTTGTTGAGAAACACGAAGCACTTCCACTTAGCCAACTTTGAAACTGCCACTTGTTACCCACCATTCATCAGGAAAGTCAGTAATGCCCGTAAAATCCTGTTAAAGTGCCTATCTCGACGCGAACTGAAGAAATGCGTGTCGATAGGAAACATGTGTCTGAAGACTGACCCTTACATACCTGGGGGATATTATGGTACAGTGTGATCGACGAGGTAATCTGTGAAATCTATGATGAATGACCTCAAAGGCTAAACTGTTCTTCTCGTCATTAAGCAGACTAAACGGTGATTTAGTATAGATCTTAGGGCTTTGAACAGCAGAACTTGGTGTTTTATCCTCATTTTCTGGCGACAAAAGCATCTCAGAAGGTATAAGACGAGTGCAGATTCTTCTAGAATGTGCTATACTAACATTAAGCATGAATTTTCTCAAGAAGTAATCATTCCCACAACTTATCACTGAAGAAAATGCCATTAACTCCATTCGTTTGTACTGCGAAATAGCAAACATTTGGCTGTGCTTGAAAATGAGGAGGTGAGACCAATAAACCTAATCCTTCCAACCCTTAAACCACAGCTTTATTACAGTTGTTAGGCTGGCGCTTACCATCTGTCTCCAAGCGTTACTTCGAAGCTGAAGAGAGGTAGCTAAAGTCTTAGTCAAAAGAATTAGAAAACAACAGAATAAGCTCTGTCCAAATGTTTGTAGATGAATACAGACTTCCGAAACCCTCCTCCTAATATGTCACCATCGTTTTTGTAAAATATTCTTTCCAGTGCTCTCCAGTACATCAAAGGGTTGTCATCACATTTCAGTACGCAACTTGTTTGAATGGTTTCTGGAACCTACGACTACCTGAGTTAAATTTCATGCAGCCGGCATCACTTTTAAGCCGGTGAAAACAAATTTTTATGCGTTCACAACCAGCTTGTCCCAGGAATTCCTGAGATGACCTTAACAGTGTGCTACCTACGAAAATGATGAAAGAATGCGGTTTTAGCTTCTCACTTTGCATCAGAACTATGACATACCTGTTCGTAGTTATTTGAGCGCTGAGGCCGAGCCCACTTTGCGAATTACTATCTCAAGTCCCCACCTCATTGTTCTTGGTTTTTGCAATTTGCATAACGACACGTTCTGACAAAAACAAATGATTGTGAGGCAGACTTCCAACTTCACAAATCCCCTCATTATCAGTAATACAACGTCGAAAACATAGTCATTACAGTTATACTCATTTCAAAAGTGCATTCTGCATTCGCTTTTCCCTATGCGCAATTTAAACCGACCCCGTGAACTGGACGATCACAATACTCGGACAGCTTTCTCCTTTCTTTCCCACTAAGTGCTGAAGCGCGAGTGCATGGTATCAGCTTCCTACCTTCGACAGGTACCTGGTCACAAACCTCAGCGTAGTAGCGTTTCTTGATAATAATAATAAGATATACTGGCACACACCATTTTTACAGATACGAACAAGTTTCTATATAAATTACATATATCTTCATGGAAGGTAATCCTAATCCCCACCCATCGTAACTAGAAAATATATGGGCAAAAATTTACAAAATGACTGAGAGCATGACTTATAAAAATGAACTGTTACTTTCCTCGGTAAAAGATACCTGCAGATCTGCATGAGCTTCAGAGGATATCGTCTTCGATGGCTGGTTCTTGTTAGTTGTTATGGCCTCCCCCTGCTGCGCAATCCTGCTATTTTCCCCCTGTGTGTGCTGTTTCAACCCAAAATGGCAACCGTTATACATTCTTCATGGATGTGAGCGATAATTCATGCCCGGAATGTCATCAAGTAAGAAAATACTGTGTCACTGTGCTGTACATCAAATGAACAAATCCAATACGGGATTCAGACTGTTCGGTTGTTCTTTGTATTGGGGCAATTTTCCATCAGTTGAGCGAACCTAATTCCCCCTTAGAAGTTTTACTTTATAAGATGACGTGTTTCAAACTACATGGCAAGGGTCATGCTCGATGAAAAGGCCACCAGGCTTGATGAAACAGAAATTAAGAAAAATAATCGTCTTAAAACCTATTTATAACGAAGGACATAGAATTCAGGTCAGTGGACCCCTTTAGTGACTTCCTTCTCCACAGGTATTTAACACAGATCTTAGGCGTTTTTCCCCATTATGGTATGCCTAAATGCAGCGTTAACACTTCCATGTCTGTATCACATCGTGCTTAGACGGCGATAAATGACTAGTGGGTATGACGGCAGTCAGACAAACCAGAACTACCCCTGCAGGCACGGCAGTATCTCTATGCAACCTACGACTGTCACACTTATGATGGTTTTGAATCCAAAAAGAAACAATGGTGGTGATAAAATAATAGGAAATAAAAGTGGGATCACTGAGAATGTAACTTTGCCCTTTCTACTGCCTCAGCTCACTCTGCACAGACATGTTGCCTCTATGGTTCTGGTATGCTAGCATTCAAGAGACAAAGCCTTGGAAACTCTCCTCACGACCACACAGAGCATGTTTGGCACCATAGCGAAAAGCATGATTGTTATTCAAATGTTTATAACCTTATTTTTGCCGCTTATGATAGTTTTCCGCCTATAAACACATACCTTTTTCCATATCTTCCCTCTTCTCCATTCCATCGCAACATCCTCATTACATCATCCATTACTTCCGTATGTACCCTCATCCCAATCCCAATAAGCTGATCTCTAAAAAGCTGGTTTAGGATGCTGCATCAAGTAAATTTTGTAGCCACTACAACCAACCCGCTTATATTTATACTATGAGTGATGATTGATTGTCGGGGTCACTTCTGCACAGCCCACCCTATCTTCAAAAATATTAGATGGGTTAAACAGTGACCAAATAGTTCCTAACTCTTGAAGTGGTAGAGAATATTTGTAGATGGGGTGGATGGTCTTGGTTACGTTGTGTTCTCTGAGCTAGGTTTTCCAGTCGTGAAGCATTCATCGTCTTTCCACACTATGAATTAACCGTATCCTTCGATAACACAACATTATGCATCTCCACCAAACCCACGTGGCCAAAGAATCTACGTTCCCTCGGCTCAATGAAGACGTGAACCTTTCAGAACGCACAAAACTTAAGTGTTGAGGTTTGGTGGGACTCATCGACCTCTGCCCGACAACATACTTCCAATTCAGTGGCAACATGCACAAACAGATGAAAGGAACTCCAATGGGATCACTGATATCCGAACTAAGTGAAGAAGCAGTGATGCGGAGACTGGAAGCCATCACTCTACCTGTGATTAAACCAAAAATTTGGATTCACTATGTGGGCTGTACTTATATCATCATTAATAAAGATGATATATAAAAACTTACAACTCCACCAACAGCGCTTTCAGTGACATCAAATTCACAACGGAGGAGGAGTCAAACAACCAACTACCATTCCTGGACGTTTTAGTCAGTGGGACAAGTGCCGGAAAGCTGGAAACCTAAACGTGCAGGAAGCCAACAGACAATGACCAAATCCCCAACTGCAGTAGCAACAACGCACAAGATCAGCTGCGTGTAGACTCTATTCAAAAGAGAGAGAACACACTGCAGCACAACAACTTCACGGAGAAACGAAGATTACTTGATGTCAATTCTAAAGGAGAACGGCTACCCACGAAACTTTATCAGGAGATGCCTATCCCGTACATCACTGCAAAGTCACTGACAGAAGCCAATAAATGCATCATCCTACCATACATAAAGAATACACCGGAAAGTATGACAAGATTACTGAGACCACTCGTAGTTGATGTAGCTCATAAACCAGCAAATAGCCCGCAAACACCATTGCGCGGACCAGGGGAGGCAACAACCAAAGAAGACAAGCAGAATATTGTCTACAAAATCAACTGTAATTACTGTAGTCAACACTACACTGGAGAAAGTGGTCATCCTCTTCTTCTCAGTCCAAGTGAACACCTGAGAACTATCATCTTTTACCATCTACAGATGCAAAATCACCAGGAGCTGGACAATCCATCCCAGACTGCAACCTCTCCTAAATGCACAACCCCAATTGGGATAGCTACTGAAAATCTTGGTATAAAATGCCATTCGCATCCAAATGTGCAAGTTCCTTCAGCCCTGGCAACCACCTACCTGGAAACGAAGCTAACCGAGAATAATGGTGAAGCCTCGCATATTCTCCACCATAATAAGATAACAGCGGCTGGACAAAATTGCATCCCCGGGCTTTATTTGTTCAAATGACATTTTTTTACGACATTATAGACCTAAACGATTGCTACACTATGCATGACACCACACAATACCAGACTCAAATTTGTGTCCGCCATCCATCCCAGTTTCGCTTCTCGCCTGTGGAGAGCACAAACTTAACGGATACAGACATATCTCCGGACTCATTTATTCTCAACATTCGGTATGCAATATGCTGTCATAGATTTCATGGCTCACCGTTGCTTCTCATGCTGAGTGACCATAACGTCATTAACTTTCACCACCGTAGTTTAACTATGCCCCTCCTATCCGATATTTGTGGCAAGCAATATACAAACAGCCCTTTTGTCCAGAAGACCTCGTGTGGCACGATGATATTTTTTTCTTAGCTTTTGCAGCTTCAATAAGGAAATAACATTTAGATATTGACTGTAAAGGTGGCATGTGTTCGTATGATTCATTATTCGAAATATGTCATTTTCATAGTTCTGGACATGAATTGTGCTTTCGCAGTGTAAAAATTTTGAACAAGGGAGGCACAAAAATATCACAGAATTCCCGGAAGCTTGGCATTCAGGCCAGTCAGTCAGCAAATCAATAAATGTTTAGACATAAACCCAGTCTGTCAACCATTGAAAAAGTGATAGACGGCAGAAAGGTCAGAGGTCAAACAGGGGAACAGCCAACAGGGAAATCTATACAGTCAGTGACACAACAATCAAAAACGATAAATCACGTACCACTTCGTCGTGGCAAGCCGCTAAATCACTCACGGGAAGATAGTGACAACCCACTTCATACTGAAGTTAGCGCCGATGATATCGTATAGGAAGACGATGAAAGCTTCGTGACTAAACAGCGCAGCCAAGAGTTCCTAACTTCGAAATGAACTCGCTTTGATCTACCGAACAATGATGTTGGTGTTTAGTCATGTTATTCTGTCTTCTGTGAGACATTAAGTTGTACTTTTAAAATCACCCTTATGCGCTTTAATTGACGATGATTAATGTATTGCTTGTCGTTGGTCATAGCAATTCCATTGTATTACCAAAGTGATTAAGCCTGCGAGCTAACCCGTTTACATGCGATCCGTGTCGTATGAGAAATACACCTTATAATAATAGTAATATATTTCATACGACGCAAGTTACATGAAACCAAACCAGGTTACAGGTTTGATCATTTTGGTAATGTGAACTGACTGTTATGTGTAATGTCAAGCTAT